AGATGAGTTTCTCCATGTTGGCCAGGCTGGTGTCAAACTCCTGACCTCAGGTGATCTGCCCACCTCGGCCTCCCAAAGTTCTGGGATTACAGGTGTGAGCCACCGTGCCCGGCCTTTTTTTCTTTTTTTTGAGACAGAGTTTCACTCTTGTTGCCCAGGCTGGAGTACAGTGGTGCAATCTTGGCTCACTCCACCCTCCACCTCCCAGTTCAAGCAATTCTCCCTGCCTCAGCCTCCCAAGTAGCTGGAATTACAGGAGTGTACAACCACATCTAGCTAGTTTTATATTTTTAGTAAAGTTGGGGTTTCACTACGTTGGCCAGGCTAGTCTTGATCTCTTGACCTCAAGCGATCCACCTGCCCTGGCCTCCCAAAGTGCTGGCATGAGCCACCGCACTCACACTGGTCTTGAACTCGTGGGCTCAATTGATCCTCCTGCCTCAGCCTCCCAAAGTGTTGAGATTACAGGCATCAGCCATTGTACATGGTTCCAAAACTTATGACATTAGGGATCCCTTTATAATCTTTTTACTTAAGCAACTTGAGGAAAAGTTTTTGTGTTCTCTCACTGAACAACAATAATCACATAAGACTCCTGTGATTAGGCCAGGCACAGTGGCTCACGCCTGAAATCCCAGCACTTTGAGAGGCAGAGGCAGGTAGATCACCTGAGGTCAGGAGTTCAAGACCAGCCTGACCAACACAGAGAAACCCTGTCTCTACTAAAAATACAAAATTAGTTGGGTGTGGAGGTGCACGCCTGTAATCTCAGCTACTTGGGAGGCAAAGGTTTGGGTATGCCAAGATTACACCATTGCACCCCAGCCTGGGCAACAAAAGTGAAATGCTATCTCAAAAAAAAAAAAAAAAGACTTCTGTGGTCAAACATGAGGGTTTCTCCCCACACTAAGCAAGTAGTTGTCCAGCAGACACCAGCTGGCTGTCCTCCAATTCACTTCCAACACCATCTACCTGGAGATAGCATCGGATCCCACAGGTTGGGGGCTCAGCCCCACAAGACTGCTTCCACTTTCTTTAGACAACATTCTCAAGTCCAAGCCTTCAGAACTTCTGACCAGCTTCAAGTTGAGGTTCCCATGACCCCCTTTTTAATTTGCTAGAGCAGCTCGCAGAACTCAGGAAAATACTTAGGTAAGTTTACTGGTTCATTATAAAGGATATCACAAAAGATATAGACGAAGAGATGCATAGGGTGAAGTATGGAGGAAGGGGCATGGAGCTTCCATGTCCTCTCCAGCTATGCCTCTTTGATACACCAAGTGTTCTGCTCTCCAGAAGCTCTCTGAACCTGTCCTTTCGGGCCTTTTATGGAGACCTTATTGGATAGGCATGACTGAAGCATGGACAACGGTGAAGAAGTCGGATTGGCAAAAGAGGCATGATCTAATACAGAGTGGGGAAGTCCAACAAGGCCTGTCCACATTTCTTCCTCCCAGGTATGGGGCAGAGTCACTTCTGAAATGGGGGAGACAGGGTAGGTCGGAGAATTCTTTTTATGACCAACTTGAAGACAGAAAGGCAAAGGAAGTTTATATAAACTAAAGTTAAACTTTTAGTTTCTAGGCCAGCCTTGGGAAGAAAAAGCAGCAGGTGAAAGGAGGTCAGAAGGTCCAAGAAAGAGAACTGCTGTTTTCTGAGGCCTGAAGTGCCCAACGTTGTAACAAAAGCCTATAACAAGGGCTTTGGGGGATGGTTATAAGCCAGGAAACAGATGAAAACCTACATATATCCTAATATCACAGAACCCAAGTTTTGAATCATTCTAGTCATATTTAAGTAGTTGTATGATAACAAGCAAAGCTCTCATGACTGGCGGTGAACACAGAATGGCTTGAGGCTTTAGTAGCCCATTAGCTTTCTTAAGGGAAAACGGACAGTTTCTGCTGGGCTTTTGTAAACAATGAAAATAGTTCCCAGGCCTCCAGAATAGTTCACCAGGCTCCACTGAAACCTGGATAATCTAGGCCTATGTTTCTCTCATAAATAAACGACAGCAGAGAGAACCGCACCAACTAGAGCCTACACACACTGAGAAACTGCAGCCATTATTCAGTCACAAACAGCTGGCATTTATTATGTTTATTCATAATGTGATTGCTTGTTAGTCCAGTGCTTAGTGGACAGCACATCTCAGGGAGCCTTCCAGAGCCTGGGGATCTGGGATACAGTCATGGACCACAGAGGCAGCTTCACCAGACTGGGAGGTTGAGGGCTTTCCCTGAGTCCTGCTGATAGGGAAGGCAGAGAGGCTGAGAGCATCACCATTTCTTCAGTTAGTGCTTTCTGCTTTCTGTAATTCCTGGAAGAAAGGAAAGCAGCAGTGAACTGGGTAACAGAGCAGTCTTCCATTCACATACTGAAAGAATTCCACAAAGTGCTTTTATCAAACATGGCAGGAGAAGGGCCACTTTGAGCACATTTGATTATTTATGCATACGTTAAATGGGCATTCAACATGGGCCAGGCACTGGGGGCCCAAAAGTATAAAAAACATCCCCTGCCAGCAAAAAGCTCAGAGTGGAGTAAAATTTTGGTTTGTGTGTGTTTAGACACACAATACTGAGTGTTTGAAGAGGTACTGGTTGCTCAGAGGAAGGAGCAGTCACTTTCAAATGAAAGGAAGACTTCAAAGACACTGAAGGATGGGTAGAATTAAGACCCAAAGAGCCTCTGGGAAAGAGCCTTCCATGTGGGAGGAACAATGAGCCAATATTTGGGGGTGGGTATGAGTGTGCAAACTCAAGAAATGGTGAATACTGGAGATCGGTGGGTGGCTGGAAATATGGAAGATGAGACTGGAATAAGAGGCATGACCAAATCATGGCAAGCCTTGAATGCCAGGTAAGGAGTCAGGAGTGTCCTCATCTCTGACAGTGATGCCATGCAGCACATAGAGAGCACAGGAAGTCAACACAGGAAGCTGAATGGGAAGGACTGGGAGTGCTAGGGGAGGAGTCTGTGAGCAACGCATGAACGAGGCTGTGGTGCCCACGGACAGGATGTAGTGGTGAGAGCTTGGTAACGAGAGCTGACGGGGAAGGACTTGCAGTTTCTACATTTCCATACAGAGCTGCTGAAATGATGCTGCTGGTGGTATGTGTGTAAGGCATATTAAATTGTCAAGAAAATGGGTGGGTTGGTTGACTGAGGATACATCAAGGGCAACTGAAAAGGCTGGCTAGGATCCCAACCTAGTTGGAAGAGACCCCAGTGAATGTGTAAGTCAGTAAGTTGCCCTCATCCAATAAAGGGAAAAAGAAAAATAAAAACATTAGCCACCAAGTGGGTCAATTCATTAAAGCTTCTGCCCCCAGTGTCCAAATGCTGCTACCAGGCCAGACTGCATCACAGACAGATGCTCCACCCTGCTTCCTGGTCCATCTAAGGTAAAGCAAGTCTTACTTGTTAGTCGTCATCATCATCATCCTCTGGAACAAAAATGTCATGTTCCTCAAGTAGAGCAGCAAAGTTCTTGCTAATGAGCGTCCCAACATAGAGAAAGGGGATCACGATGGAAAACACACGGAGAAGGCCGAAGGACATCTGCAGAGGGTCAGAGTGGCGGCTGTGAGCTCCAGAGCTGCCTCTGGCAAGACCAAAGAAGACCTGGCCCTCTCATGGACATTCCCTCCTGTGGAACTCAGACCCATCATAAGCAACTTGATTTTAAAATCTTTGGAAAAATTCAGGGCAAGAAAAGGAACTAGAAAAGGAGAGGGCCAGGCGGGGTGTATCAGGCCTGTAATCCTAGCACTTTGGGAGGCCGAGGTGGGTGGATCACCTAAGGTCAGGAGCTCGAGAACAGCCTGGATAATATGGAGAAACCCCATCTCTACTAAAAATATAAAAAAATTAGCTCGGCGTGGTGGTGCATGCTTGTAATCCCAGCTACTTGGGAGGCTTAGGCAGGAGAATTGCTTGAACCTGGGAGGCAGAGGTTGCAGTGAGGCAAGATTGTACCATTGCACTCCAGCCTAGACAACAGAGTAAGACTCTGTCTAAAGAAAAAGAAAAAACAAAAGGAGATAAGGTGACTGTCATGGCCATCAAAGTGGATGAAAAGTCCACTGGAAAGAAAAGTCTAAGGCACCCTAGACATCTAAAGTTAGGACACAGCCTGCTAATTACTTTAAATCTCTACAGGCGGACGGGTGCGCCAGTACTAGGAGGGCTGGACTATGGTGAGCTCTACTTGAACACATGAAATACACAAAAACCTATGACAGAAAGATGTACAGTGAAGGAAGGCTGGGCACGGGGGCTCACACCTATAATCCCAGCACTTTGGGAGGCCAAGGGGGGCGGATCATCTGAGGTCAGGAGTTCGAGACCAGCCTGACATGAAGAAACCCCAAATACAAAATTAGCTGGGCCGGGTGGCGCATGCCTGTAAACCCAGCTACTCGGAAGGCTGAGGCAGGAGAATTGCTTGCACCTGGGAGGCAGAGGCTTCCGTTAGCCAAGATCACACCATTGCCCTACAGTCTGGGTAACCAGAGTGAAACTCTGTTTAAAAAAAAAAAAAAAGATGTACAGTGAAGGGATATTCTATACAGTTCATTAAGTAACAGGTTCCCTGATGCCTGAGAAATTTGATTTAAGCACATTAAATTTTAGAAACTAATGTGTGTGAAAGGGGGCATGTATTTACACTAAAAGACTATTTAGATAGATTGGGAAAGTGTGAGTAAAATCTGAGCAACATTTCCTCTTGTATTCCTGGAGTTTAAAAAAATGTCACTGTGCCTTCTGATAAGGCAGCTCTTTCCCAACGTGGACCTTGCAGTCAATTGTGTGTTAGCATAGGATAGACTAGCTTTAAGACAATTTGTTTTTTAACTCCCATACCACACAGCCCTGCAGTCATAAAGCAAACTTTTGTTTGCTATAAGGGACTGTTTCCGTTTTCCCTAGAAAAACTCAAGGGCATGTGATAGCGTTCAGTAGTGGAAAAAGATAGGACCTGGCAAGGACAGTATCAGCAAGAAACCGGGACGCTGCGGTCTCAGCGCAAGCCTTGGATATTGGCTTCACAGCTCTAGCCCGATTCTTCATTTGGAAAAACCGTGATTGTAATAATTCCCTGCACATCTATCAGGACTGTAAATCACATGAATTAAATACTAGGTGACAACTCATAAAAAGATAAGGGCTGTCCCACGTACCCCTTGTTTACAGAGTCCTTTCACAATTCATATTTCATCCCATAAACTAGGAGACAGGCAGGGCAGAGATTACAGGACTAAAACAGATTACAGGGAGGGCAGAGATTACAGGATTTAGATTACAGTCTAACTAGATGCACAGGGCCAAGTTTTCTGACTCCAGAGGAGCACTGCACCGTACCTCTCAGGATAATCTAATGTAAAAGGTCATCTTCCTCAGCGTTTGCCCCCATCTTCTGTCTACCTACCATTTTCTACCCACCTGTCAAAATTAGCAACTCATTAGCGCATTTATTTTCGGCCCGCCTTCCACTCTAAGGCAATCGTTATGATTGGCCTTGGCCGCAGTCAATCAGCGCCGCCCGCACGCATTCCCCACAATGATTGGCCTCAGCCCCTTCGCCCCGTCTCCAGGAAGACACTCACTTTGACTGGTTTGGGCAAAATGGCGCCGCTGCGGGTAACGATGACTGACCTCGACGGTACCAGGCTCCGGCCTGGGTCGCTCCGTGCCGCGGCGACATCGCCACCTTTCCTCAAGCTAGGCCCGCTCCGGAGAACCCCGGACCTGACGGCTGCCAACGCTAGCCAGCGAGCCGCTCCGGACGCCATCCCGCAGCTCCGCCCCTCGCCCGGGCACACGGACCCCACCGCCTGGCCCCGGTGCCGCCCTCGGGAAGAACGCCGCTCGAAGCCTCGCGAGACTTTGAGGAGCACACGCGAAACCCACTCAACCCGCGTAGTGCCGGCGCCTCCTGGGGCGGCCAGAGGGAGGTGTTTGTCACCGGCCTACGTGGTGACGTTACGAGAGCGGCGCAGCCGCGCAGCTGCATCTGTTCGCGTCCTGCTGGGCAGGGCCGCAGTCCAGGTCCCCGCACCTGGGACCGCCCGGCCGCCAGAGCAGGCCTCAGCGGCTGCGGAAAAAAACCTAGGGAGCCGAATGAGTAACATTGAAAAAGCTTTACTAGTGTTTTAACCGCGTACCAAGCACTGTAGCAATAAGAAAAAAAGGCCCGTGCGATCTGTGTATAAAACAAAGTGCAGTGGCTGCGGGGCTCCCAGGCAGGGCTGGGGAACAGGCCGGGCGCCCACCCTGGTTGCATCTCAGGCTCCTGGGGGTAAGAGGCTGTGAGCCTCCGCCTAAGGCCTAGTTGGGTGCCGGTCGGTCCTGCCCGAGGCCCCAGTGAGGGTAGCAGAGGCTAGGGACGGCAGGTTGTCTGTGTGTGGGAGGGGGTGTCTCCTCTGGGGCTCTGCGTCTTCCGCCCAGCCTCTGCCATCGCACCCCTAAGGCGTCAGTCTGGTCAGGCTCTGGTGACCCAGCACTTTGCTTCCCAGAACAATAGAAAAAACACGTTCGGGCCGGTGCTGTGGCTCATGCCTATAATCCTAGCACTTTGGAAAGCCGAGATGGGTGGATCACCTGAGGTCAGGAGTTCGAGACCAGCCTGGCCAACAAGGCGAAACCCCAGTATCTACTAAAAATACGAAAATTAGCCAGGCGTAGTGGTGGGCGCCTATAATCCCAGCTACTCGAGAGGCTGAGACAGAATCGCTCAAACCCGGGAGGCGGAGGTTGCGGTGAACCGAGATCGCCCCCACAATACTCCAACCTGGGCGGCAGAACAAAACTGTCACAAAAAAAAAAAAAAAAGAAAAAACAGGCTGGATGCTGGGAATAGTAGCAAGGAGGGGTCCTGGCAAGTACACGCTAGGTGACAAACAGGGCTATGAGAGTTCCCAGGTGGTTTCTAGAGCAGCTTCACTTGCAAGAACACTTTTACCGGAGCCCAGCCAGGAGAGAGATAGCACAGGAAACGGAATCCCGTGTCCAAGCTCCTGGAATGCCCAGGACTGAGAGCCAGAGCAACCAGCTTTCTCCAGGAACCACACTGCCTCCCCACCTCTTTAACCCCTCACTTGGCAGCTCCAGGAGTTGGCTGCTGAGGACAGAGTACAGGAGGGCATTTTGCTGACATAAAAAGCTACTAGCCCTTCTGGGGCAAGGTCCAGCACCATCTGTTAACAGGGCAGCCAGAGAGAAAGGATGGGGCCCCAAATTCTTAGCAGAATAAATCTCTCTTCACTGGCCAAAGACTCACTGCCTCAAAGGGCCCTACCCAAATTGTTGAGTGAGGATTCCGTCCCCAGTCTTCCCACCCTTCTCAGGAAGAGCTGAGTCCCAGAAACTCCTATGACATGGTAAATCCCCTTTCTCTGACAATGTCGGAGTCTCAAGCCAATACTGCAGCCAACCTCGGATTTAAATGCACATGAGACTCCCCAGGTTGGAATCTGAGTCTGGCGTATAGGTCAAAGGTAGGGCAAGCCTGTGACACTCTCAGGTGACATTGCCCACTTCCTCCATTTCATTAATATCCCCTGGGAGGGGGCAGTCAGGCCAGTGCAGTCAGGAGTTTGGGCCGGGCGCAGTGGCAGCTGATCAAGCCCCTTTCCTCTCTGGGCCTCAGGAAATAAAAAGGTTGGAAGGAATGGTCCCTCAGTCCCTTCCAGACACACGGGTGGATCTGGAACCTGGAGAATGCCTAAATAGCAGGAAGGAGAGAACCCATGTCACCTCCCAAAATGCAACCTTGGAAATGGGTAAACATTTAACTCCTGAAAAAGAACTGGCCCTGGTTTCCAGAATCACAGTGCCCAGGCTTAGGGCTTATCCTGTTCCTCACATTCTGGCTGGGTCCCCTGGGCCCTCTGCTGCCAATGCTGCTGCAGCTTCATGATCTCCTGGCCATACCAGTCATGCAGGGTAGAGAAATCGGAGGTCTCAGGGGACACGGGACTCTGCCCCCTGCCTAGGAGGAGGCTGGCAGGACCCTGTAGCTCCCGCTCAGCCAACCCCAGTCCTGCAGACCTGCTGCCCGCTTCTTCAACCAAGCCCACAGGGCTGCAGTCCTTGGAGAGGGGGTGGCCATTCTCCAGGACCACAGACCGGTTGTTACGAGCCTGGGGCTTACAGCGGCTGGCAGCGGGCTTCCAGGATGAGTGGTGTTGCAAAGCCAGGCTCTGGCGTGCGTCCTGCAACTGGCTCTCCAGCTCTCGTACCACCAGGCGCATGTAGCCAAAGCTTGCCCGGGACAGCGCCTTCACCCAGGCCTCCTGGGCTGCAGGCCCTTCTGCAGCAAGCAGGTGTGGGTGCACTCCAGGGGCATCAAAGCAGATGGCAAAGGCAAACTCCTCGGGCACGGGAGCCTCGGCCAGTTCCACTGTGCAGCCTTCCAACACCACCAGGCTCAGTGGGGCCCGGCCCTTGCGACTCTCAAAGGAAAACAGCAGGTTGCCCTTGAGGACAAACCAGCATCTTCGGCCAGTGCCACTGGGGGTTGGTGGGGTCCCTGGGCTCCCCCAGGTGCGCAGGAAGCCCATGTGGTCTGCTGGGGAGTCGCTGAGTGCATAGTGAGCCACACTCCTCTCGTTCAGCTTCATGGCTCCCACGGGAACTGTGGGGCGAGAGAAGTGGCAGCGGATCAGAGAGGAAGGTGGCTCCATGCCACCCTGGGGAAAAGCACTGGCTCTGGAGGTGACCTGGGCCCCATCCCTGGGGCTCCTACTCACTTGCCGTGTCCGTAAGACCCCTAATGTCTCCTGAGAGGTAGGCTCATCTTTCCTTCCTTTTCTCTCAAAGGGTTGTTGTGAGGATCATGCAAAAAAAAATCTCAATAGCAGACTTGGAGAAAATAACAAGATTGGATCAGACAGGAGTCATGGCAGGACCTGGGCAAGGCTTTCTAAAATCCAAAGAAACAGGCCCCAACTGAGCTGAAATGGATCACAGACCCATGGAAACCATTGTGCTTAAACTATTCCCTAATCTGGGGTCCTCTCAACTCCAACTCTGAGGCCAAACCTCCAGGGTTCCCATGACCCTCCTCGGCCTGTACTGGCCTCTTATTTGCATATAGCAGTTGAATCTTATTGACCTAAAGGCAGAAGCTGAGGCACAAAATATAACTTTCAAGAGTTTACTTGAGCCAAAGTGAGGACAACTGCCCAGAACAAACGTTAGTTGTCGTGGGGTGTGCTGCGTTGGGCCTTTTTTACAAGCAGCTTCTTATAGGCAGAAGGAGGCAAGGATGACAGAGTTATTTGGCAGGAATTCTCCTTGGTTTACAGAAATAACATTGATTGGCCGGGTGTGGTGGCTCACACCTGTAATCCCAGTACTTTTGAGTGGCTGAGGCAGGTGGATTACCTGAGCTCAGGAGTTCGAGACCAGCCTGGCCAACATGGTGAAACCCCATCTCTACTAAAAATACAAAAACTAGCTGGGCATGGTGGTGGGCACCTAGCTACTCGGGAGGCTGAGGCAGGAGAATCGCTTGCTCCCAGGAGGTGGAGGTTGCAGTGAGCCGAGATTGCGCCATTGCACTCCAGCCTGCTTGACAAGAGTGAAACTCTTTCTCAAAAAAAAAAAAGAAGAAAGAAAAAGAAATAGCATTGATCAGTGATTGGCTATACATTGTTGAACTACAGGGTGTCCAGTGTACGGCATTTTATGGCTACTTGGTATCACTCTAGAGCTACGTAGCAAGTGGCTTCAAGAGGTAATTCTTGACCTTTTGTAGCTCATGAGCGTGATGACTGGGTGTTCATGTGCATGTGTGAGATGTGCTGCCTTCGAACCTTGTTACCATGTGGGCACATTACTGGTCTGACATAAAAAAGAAAAGAAAAGAAAAAATAAAAAGAGACGATTCTTTAGCTCTAGGGAGGACTAAGACTTGACAGCCGTTTCATTTCAGTATGTCTGGGCCCGATTATTTAAAGGGGCTCTAATTCCACAGATAAAACATTATTTTTCTCTCTCAATCTGCAGTCTTCAGGGACAGATGGGGACCTACTCTGTAAACAAGAATGAGGCACAAACCCAGGGTACAGCTGAGAAGAGCTAACCACAACCACTGAGTGTGGGTGCCCCCAGGATCAATGAATGGCACATAGTCCAGCTGTCCGTACTCACCGAAAACCAAAGTCCAGCAGTGAGGGGATCTTGCCCAAGATTACATGACCAATGAGACACAGAGCTTGGTCTCCCAAATCCCTCACACTGTACTCACTTACCAGCAGGGCTCCCTGGGGGAGGGCAGAGACCTCTTGTCTGGCCACACAGCTCAGCCCTTGGACCACCTGATTCGCAGGGAGCCTGCAAAACAATTCTCAAGCCCAGTCAGCTCATCCCAAAGAATGAGAACTCCTACTCCACCTTCAAGGCCTCCACCAGGAATCCCTCTCTGATCCCTGAGAATCCCCTACCCATCCACCCAGCCAGGAACCCCTGAGCAACTTAAAGGGCTGCGTCCCCTTTGTCTTGTCCTTACTCTTCAGACCTCATCTCCTTGCGTGAGTCCAGGTCAGAGCTCTATGTGCCCTCATGGTTCCTAGCTTTTCCCTTCTAGTACTTGCTATTCAGTTTCTTTGTGGCTTTAACTGAAGTCACCTAATCTGGGACGCCTTCCACAATTACCATATCTAAGGTGGCCCTGACCACCAAGGTGGCTTGACCTAAGGTCACCTGACCAGTAGACCCCCCCCCCCATTTCTGGTTTGTTTCCTTCATCCCACAATGGTGTCATTTGTGTTAAAGCACTGCTCCCAGCCGCAGAATGCGTAGGGTGGGGCTCGGCTAGGTTCCCAGGAGAACCCCAATATCCAGCACTGTGCAGGGCTCAGAGAGGCCCTCGAGAGGGATCTGTTGAAGTAACAGGAAGATATCAGGCGGACAAAACAAAGTCTGCCGCCCTCCTGAAGCCTATATTCCCACGGGGGAAACACTGTAGGCACGCAAAATAAATACTAATAAATTAATGAGAAAATGGCTGGGCATGGTGGTTCACACCTGTAATCCCGGCACTTTGGGAGGCCAAGGCAGGCGGATCCCGAGGTCAGGAAATCAAGACCATCCTGGCTAAGACGCTAAAACCCTGTCTTTACTAAAAATACAAAAATTAGCCGGTCGTGGTGGTGCATGCCTGTAATCTCAGCTACTCTGGAGGCTGAAGCAGGAGAATCGCTTGAACCCAGGAGGCGGAGGTTGCAGTGGGCCGAGATTGCGCTACTGCACTCCAGCCTGGAAGACAGAGAAAGACTCTATCTCAAAAAGAAAAAAATTAATGAAATAATAATCAGTGAAATAAGAGCTAACATAAGGACCGGTAATGCTGAGGGTTATGAAGGAAAACCAGCCAGGCTCTGAGATGGGGAGAGAGGCCACTCCAGTAGGGGTGGCCCAGGAAGTGGGAGGAGGAGGTCACAGATGTTCGCCAGAGGAGTGGCCTCACTGGTGGTCCTGGGCCCAGCACTGGGGCACATGGAGCGGGTGGGCAGTTCGTGGGGCCGTGCCCCCTCCACTCCCCCGCGCCTGGGCAAGGGCGCTCCCTCCTCTCCACCAGTAGGAGGGCCAGACCCGCCGGCACACCCGGCCTCCCGCCCGCCTCTGCGTCTTCCTGGATTCTTTTGTTGGAGGAGAGGCAGGATGGGGACGCGGGACCGCCGGGCCAGTGGCCACTGCGGGGAGCCCCGACCCGACTGTCACCCTGAAACAGGGGTCACCTCAGTCAGGATCTCCCCGGCTGCCGCTTCGGTTTCCGTGTCCTTGCGTCGGGGCCGTTCCCGCCACATCCCCGGGACCACCTCCTCCCGGAGCCCGCCGGGCCCACTCTCACCTCCCACTGCCGATCGCACCGAAGCCCAGGAGAGCGATTCTGGCTTCAGACCCCGCGCCTCCGCCTGGGTCGCAAACGTGGCCGCGGAATCTGGGAGACCCCGCCCGGGAGGCTCGAGTTCCCGCCCTTCCCCGCCCAGTAATCACCAGGCCCAGGATCTGCGAGGTCGCCTAGGGATCCGCAAGGGCGGGAAACTGAGGCCCGAGAGGGTCACAGAGCTGGTTGGTGCCAGCGGCCTCGAACCCGGAGGACCCCCTCAGACGGTCCGCCGGCCTCGGACCCAGCCCACCGTCCGGAAAACTCAGTCTTCCCCTCTGGTCCCCCTCTTCCCCCTCTCCCTGGCCGGCCCACTTCCCCGGCAGATCCAAACTGGGATGGTCTCACTCTGGGCACCTCCTAAGGGCGGGCTCCTACACAGCCCTAGAAGCACGGACAAGCTTTCCTGGCCACCCACCGGGCCACCGGGTCCGCTGATTTCTGCCTCTGGGAATTACCCATTTCTATTTCCCTAACCTGAAACCCACCAGCAGCCCCCAGGCTCTGCCCTAGTGAGTCCAGGAGGAGGCCTGCGGTGAAGGTCACAGGAATACACAACCAAACCCAAGGGACTGGAGCTTCTGGAAGGCCCTGGAAGCCAGAGCTGTGCTCAAACATCTGCCCATGAACTTGGCTCCCACCTCAGGGCCTTTGCAGCCTAGAATGCTCTCCCTTCCCACCCCGAGCTGCAGCTCCGCTCCTCAGGACCGCTTCCCGTCAGGCATTTGAGTCTCAGCTCAGAGGTCCTCTCCCCCACAGCTGTAAAGCAGCCTGGCCTGCAGTGCGCCCCATCCCTGGGATGTTGTTTTTATCAGAGCACTCACCGCTGGACTAAACGTTCCTACACTCATGCTTTTATTTTCCTGTTTATTGTCTGTCTCCCCTACTAAATTTTATTTAATTCATACTTTAAATCATAATAAATGTATCAGAAGGTAATAACGTGGCATGGAAACAGAGCAGGGTAAGGGAGACGGGAAATTGTAGGAATTGGGAGCCTGCGATTACAGATAGACTGGTCAGGGTGGTAGGCCTCATTGAGAGAGCAACACTGGACATGTGCTTGAAGGAAATGAGGGAGACAGCCATGCCAATATGGGGGGATCATTCCAGGCAGAGGAAACAGTCAGCACGGTGGCCCTGAGGCCTGTTGTGTTTGAGGACCTGCAAGAAGGTCAGTGAGGCTGGGAGGGTGGGAGGGGGTGGGCAGTAGGAGGTGGGGTGAAGGGGTGGGTGGTAAGGTCTCACCGCCATGAATGGCAGGGTCACCTCTGTGGCTGCACGTACACCCCAGATGAGTTCCCAGAAGAAACGATCAACCCCTGCGGCACCTAACTAACCTGAGACCTTCTTCTATTGTTTCTTATTCCGGCCTCAATTGACAAGGCCTTGGATTTTGTAACTGAGCTCGGCCAACCTGGTGACTCCACACCCTGCGACCCTCTCCCAGCCTGCAAACCTACAACCCACTCCCAGCTTGCAGAAAAATGCCCTAAACTTACTTCTGCAACTTTCCACTGTTTACCCCAAACCTATAAAACCAACTTCTATCCCTCTGCCCTTTGCTGACGCCCTTATCTGCCTCAGCCCGCCCACACCCAGGTGAATAAACAGCTGTGTTGCTCACACAAAGCCTGTTTGGGGGTCTCTTCATTTACAGCCCACGTTTTAACATTTGGTACTGAAAACCCAGGACGGGGGTACTCCTGTGGGGAGACCAGCCGCTGTGAAGAGACCTACCTGAGACCTCAACACATCAGACTAGACCAGCCCAGCCCAGCGGCTCGCGCCTTCCGTGCTGAACAGCTCTCTCGCCAGCTTCAGATCAGGTAAGCAGTCTCTCTCTGCCCCTCTTTCTCTCTCTTTTCCTTTACATCTTTCTCCTTCTAGTAAAGACAAAGAGACACTCTTCATCCGTGTAGAGCCGGAGGAGACAAGTCTCTACTTCTTGCTCCAAAACTCCGATGTTGGTCACGGACTTGAGAAGACTCTTCCCTTGGTGTCTGCCCAGTTGTGGGGATGCCTTCCTTGATCACTCACCCACGTTACAGCCCAGGAATCAGTCAGGGATGCCTACTGAGAACGCTAGTAGCTGCTCGCTCCTTCTAATCTCTACTCTACTTTTTTCATTAAAACTTATCTCCTTCGCTATGAACAACTCTCAGCCCTCTATTCCTCAATCCTCACCTCTAGCCTGCATCCTAAAACACCTAAAACTTCTTCAACTGTTGCCCAATCTGAAACCTAAACATCTCTGTAGCACGGCCCGGCCTCAGTCCAAATGACCAGAAAAAGGCACTTTCGATTTTTCTATTCTGTGAGACCTGGACCATTTTTTTCAACAAATGGGCAAATGCTCTAAGGTGTCAGACATCCAGGCATTTTTTTTACACTCTAATTCCTCCCAAATCTCTGCTCCTTCTCTCCCTCCCGTCCGCCCCGCCTGCCTCTGCCAGTGACCCAGAATCCTCCTGGTCCATCAGCCCTTCCTACGTTTCTTCTCCCTGCCCGTCTGAACCAAACCCCAGTCCAGGCCCAGCCCTACCCCCAGCCTTCCTCCTCTTCCTCTGCCCACAACCCACCTCCTTATCCCCCTCCTGTCACCTCCCCACCTCATCCGGGGCCCCGCTTACAGTTTAGTCCTGTGGCTACCTCCTCCGCCCCCGCCCAACAATTACCCCTTCCAGAGGTGGCTGGAGCTGAAGGCACATTTAGGGTGCACTTTCCTTCCTCTTTCTCCAACCTTTCCCAAATTAGCCAACATCAAATCCTCCAATACTTAACCCAGTCCTGTCATCTCACCTGGAGTGACTTGAAATGTCATCCTTACTTCCACTCTCACCCCTGAAGAACGCTTAATATGCATTTTATCGGGCCGGGCGCGGTGGCTCAAGCCTGTAATCCCAGCACTTTGGGAGGCCGAGGCGGGTGGATCACGAGGTCAAGAGATCGAGACCAT